GAGCAATGTTTTCCTTCCACATTACTAAAGATCTATAGTGTTCCTCCTGGACAAGTTCCAGGAGCTGAACAGTTGTCCACAATGTTCCTAAGTGCTATGTTATTGTTGTAAGCTGCCATCGAGTCAGCCTGCAGCTCATGGTCACCCCATGCACCGTGGAATGAAATGCTGCCCGGCCCTGCACCATCCTCATGATTGGTCGCAGATCAGGCCATCGTGATCTATAGGGTTTCATTAGCTGATTTTGGAAAATAGATCACCAGGCCTTACTTCCTAGGCCACATTAGTTTGGAAACTGCTGAAACCTGTTCAGCATCACAGCATCATGCAAGCCTCCACTGACAGACAGTGGTGGTTGCGTCTGAGATGCACTGGCCAGGAATCAAACCCAGGTCTCCAGCACAGAAGGCAAGAGTTCTACCACTGATCCAGCATTTCCCACTTATCCACCATGTGCTGTGGGTATATCATTTTCACTTGAGTGGAATGTGATGGGTTTCTGAACTCTGATTCTGGTCAGTTCCTGAGTCCTATCAACCACTCCCTTTTGACATAGCCCCCCTGTCTCTCCTTGTTCCTCTTCCTCTAGTCTGATAACTATCTGTTCGTAAAACATATATGTGTATGGGATGGTGGGTGGGGGAAGGAAAGGAGGTTGATGGAGGAAAAAAAAAAAGGTCCTTCTTGATTTCATATTTTTTAAATTTTATACTTGTACCTTGACTTTTGAAACCCAAGAGCTAACAATTTGACTTTTCTCTAGTAACTCTTCCTTGTGGAAAACTATGCCTACGTTGTTTTTCTAAATTGATGGGTGGTGGTGGGGGAATCCATACAGCATAATAAGAAATCCAATGAGGGGTGGTGATGGAAGGGAAATCACATCAATGAATATATTAAAATATTATCACACCATTTATTTGATGATAGTTTTTTCCACAATCTTATTTTTGACATTTATATATTCCACAAATAGATACATAAATAAGGCAGTAAAGTTTGCTCATAAATGCAGTCTACAGATGTGTCACACGAATGGAATAACCAGTGAAGGGGTGTGAGTGTGGATGGCTTTTGTTAAAGCCAGAGGATTCCTCAGGCTTTGTGAGGGACGAAGGCTGAAAATAGCGTGTTTCACACAGTATTCAGTCTCTAATGGCTCTTTGCTCCAGAGAGCAAATTTCATCTCAGCCACAGGGGGGCCCCTGCTCCCCTCAACTGCCAGTCGGCCTCAGACTGGGAATTCAAAGGTAAAATGAGGAGGAGTGGATTTGGGAGCAGAACAATAATAATTGTATTTTGTACAGGGGTGAATGGAATAATTGGCAATCATCCAATATTTCCTCCAATTGGGATACCTGTGAGTGGCATTTGCAAAGTATTAGTTTGACTATACTTTGGACAAAAGCCCCTAGACTTGCTGATAAATACATATATATATATAAAATATCCTAAAAAAATCCCCTGCCCCCATCCCAATTAACACTCCCACACCATTGAAGGCGTCACAGGGCATGTTTCAACACCAGTATGAGTCCCTGTTCCACTGAGACCGGGGCACCACTGTGTTGCCAGTGGTGTGCCTGTGAGGGCTGTGCCTGTCACGAACAAAGGGCAGGGGCTCCTCTAGAACCAATAGCTCCAGAGCACAGAACTCAAGTGTCTCCCACTACGTCTTCTTATAGGCACCAGTATCTCTCTACGTGGTGTCAGCTTCTTTCAGCCAGTTAGCAAGGAGCCACTGGGCAAACTATGATCTCATTGTGGCTGCAAACTCACTTAAAATATTAACCACGACGATAAAGATGAATAAGTCTTGCACTTCCAGGGCTTATATGAGTTTACTTATCTCTGCGGCCAGCCCTGAAACGTTGCTATTCAGCTGGCACATATAAGATCTGGGTTTCATGGTCCCCAAAATAAACAATTAGAACAATAGCTCTTCAAGGTCTGAAGCTTTTGTTGAGTCCAGTTTCTGCCATTAGCTCTCTAGAATAGTGGAGGGTTTAGTTATTTTAAGCAAAGTTAGGAGCAGGGGTGGGGGAGAGCTAAGTGAGATGAAATTGAGGGGTGGGTTTAGGTAGAATAGAGGGTTAGTTGGGATTGACACTCCCTCCAAGCTTCAGAGTAGCTGGGATGCAGCAAAATTGCTGCGGCTGCTGGTACTCATGGCCTTAATCATCTCCAGAGTGGGGTGATGCTGCTGAGGCCGAGAGAGAATTGCTTCAGCAGGGGGCTCCTTTAACTGAGCTTTTATAAGAGTTGTACAGTCTGGCCATGGTTACTTCTTACGCTTGCCTAGGCTAGCTTAACTCCTCTTTTTTCCACTGGGGGTGTGAGCAGAACCAGCTTCTCATTATCTTGGGGCCTGCATTTTATTGACTGTGAACACTCAGGACCCCAGCTCTGGGGCCATCTGTGACCTGTCGTGTGGTAATAGCGTGGTTTTCCCCGTGTTCGGCTCCCTCTCCGAGTACTTAGTGTTAAATCATAGGGGGAGGAAGTGTGAGCAGAGGAAAAACAGCACTATTACATGACCCCCCGATGAGACCGCTGTGATAGAATTAAAAGCTGCCGCCCTAGGACATTCTAACAGATGACATTGTGAGGTTGCCAAGGTAACCCACCAGGATACAGTTCCAGCATCTTTGGGGTTGATGCTGGGTAGGTGAGGTCAGTTAGAGGTGAGGCCCAGCGCCCAGGGTCTATTCTCTGGCTGGCCAGTCCATGGCAGCCAAGTGGGAAATCGGAGTAGCCCAACAATGCAAGAGAAGTTGGCTCCTCCTTGGATATTTCAGGTGAAAGAGAATTAGAATACTCTAGGTAATTAAGCAATGTAGGTTACACAGACCCATAAAAGATCTGGATGTTAATGACTCATCCATTCATTCAGTGAATGTTTATTGGATATCTAGGCGGAAAGGTCAAAAGTTCTAGAAAACTCTCAAAAATTCAGATCTATGCAGGGAAAAAAAGACACTAAGACATGTATGCATTGTTAGTACTCAGGAATATGTGGAAGAAAACAGAAACAATCAGAACAGCTTATTAACCCCACAGAACTGGCTTAAAAAACAAACAACAACAAAAAACACAACTATGTGCCAAATTTTCATAGAGTGGAAATGGTTTCTTTAAAAGAAATCAACCCCCTGCCTCAACCACAACCAAGTTATGATACATTTTCTCCCTCCTCTCTTTAGCTTCTTTTAAATACTCTGGTTACTTTTGAATGACTGGGTTTCACCTCAGTAGTAGAAGGTATTAGATGGGCCTACCTTGCGGCAACTCCAGACTTCAGGCAGTTGAACACCATAAAAGTTTCTCCCTTTGGCCTCACAGGTGGGTGTTCAAAACTCCCAGTAGTATCACTGGACAGTTGTCCCCATATACTACTATTTAAGTCTAGAGTTGGATCTTCACCTTGTCGTCTTCTTTTCTCCAGATCGCAAGCCCAAAGGGTGAGTGGGATGAGTGATGGGAGGAAAAGATGGGGTAGAAATGGGCAAAAGGGGGCAGGGGTGAGTGAGAAGGAAAACAACTGGAATGGCTCAAGAAACAAAAACAATGAAGAAAATTGCTGAGAAGTGGTAACAAGAAAGAAAAAAAAAAAACAACAGAACAAAACCCACTGCCATCAAGCCATTTCTGACTCAGAGACCCTATAGGACAGAGTAAAATTGCCCCCATAGGGTTTTCAAGGCTATAAATCTTTATGGAAGCAGACTGCCTCATCTTTCTCCCACGGAGAGGCTGGTGGGGTGGGTTCGAATAACAAGAATTCCTGGAAACAAAAAAGTGGTTCCTTACTTCCTGGGGGTGTTATTAATGCCAGAAGGGCCTCATTAAAACACCAGTGGGGCCTAAACTAACTCTGCAACCAGTGGGCCCAATACTTACCAATCCCTCTCTTCCTAACCAGAAAATACAGATAATCAACTAGATTATTTTAGCTGTCTGTTCCAGATTCCTTAATTATGATTGGCCAGACTGTACAATGATTATAAGTTACAGAGTGCTTCCCTGCTCCCCTAAGCACTTTGTATATAAGGTTTCTTCAATTGACCCCTACGTTTTAATTTTACTTCGTTTAAATAGTTCCAAAAAGAAAAATCTTTTATAATGAGCTGACGTTTTAACATTTTCACTTAATAACACAGCTCTGGCCAGCACTTTATATACTTTTCTTCTTGGGTGGTCTCTATAAGTTGCAGAAAAAGATGACTCTTCAGATATTCTCAAACCTTAGGAACACCTGAAGCAAGGTGGAAAAGGGTGTAGCAGGAAGGAAAAAAAAACAGTGACCTTATCTTTCATTCTAAGCACTAAACTCTAAGAAATAAAGTAGTCCCCAAGATGCCTGGGGACGCGCCCACCTGTGGAATGGGGACCAAGGAATAGTCCTTTCTAAGAGTCTTACTCACTAGCCATCAGCACCTTGGTGGCAGTAGCTTTTCCAGCATCCCCTCTCAAATCTGGAGGGATCCTATCACTTTTCCCCACGCACGCTGCTGACTGGACACAATCTTCACCAGAGGAGAGGTCAAGAGGGTGGGCCCGTGAGTCTCGTGCCACTGGGCCGTGGAGTGGTGAAGATCTCTGCAGGTCTGGTTGCTTGTGCGGCGCGCAGGTCGCTGGCCGCGTGGAGGCCGCAGCGTGGAGCCGAGAGGGGGCGCAGGGTGCGGAGGGGGCGCGGGGCGGGCCTGCTGCTCCCACGGCGGCTGTCAGGAGCCGCGCGGCTTCCCCCGAAGATGCAGCGTAGCATATTTTGTATATGAGTTCAGAGGAAGAGGAAGTGTAGCCGGCGGACGCGCGGCGGCGGCGGGGGCGCGTTGAGGCTGGAGCCGGAGCGCGCCAGGCGCAGGGCGCAGAGAGCCGGAGTGCGGAGATCTCGGGCTCTGCTGAGGAACCGACACACGGACAGTGGGCCAGACTGACCCAACCGAACGCAGTACCACCGTTCCCCGAGCCCCCCTGCTAGCGGCCACGCCCTCCCCCGCGCTGCCTCATCTGGTTGGCACAAACTTTCCTCCCGGGACGCAGCACGCTGTCTCCTGGAGCCCGCGTTCGCACCGTCTACTCCGCGGGTTGTGAGCGGTAGGTGGGGAGCGTCGGGGTTTGGGGTGTCGGCTGGGGAGGCCCCTCCATTTAGCCCGCGGCAGGCCGAGCCTGGCGTGGCGCCTCCCTGCAGGTTGCCGGGGTTGGGGCTTGTTTCTTGGCCGCCTGGGCTCGGGAGCTGCCATCGGATCCCCTAACGCGGGTCGTGTGGGGTGGGGTGTCTATCCAGTGGGGGCAAGCATCTTAAGCCAACTTTTTTTTCGAAAAATCATTCCTGGCGCACTTTGGGTAGAGGCACCCCAGAGCCTCCTGTTAAAGGTTGTGGGTTCTGCGGGCTCCGGGGCGCCTAGGAAGGAAGCAGGGTGGGGGTGTTTGAGGCTACAGGTGGGTTCTGGGCACTGCTGTAGGAGGTCCCAGACAGAGATCCGGCGGAGCTGGCCCTGGAGCCCAGGTTTGAGGAAGGTTTGTGACTGGGAGTGAACGAGGGGAGGCTGAACCAGGTTGCCTCTCAGCATGCGCCCTGGCAAGGGGCATTTGGTCCCGAGGCAGGGGTGCTGTGTGGGTGTAAGTGGACGTGCCACGCGCTCAGAGGTTGCGCCTTAGCCACGCAGGCTGAGAGACTTCGGGCTCGGAGAGAAGCCACTACGGAAAATGAAGATCTCCCCTCTACAAAGGTTTTCCCTTCCTTTTCCTAAGCCGCTACACTAGGCTTAATGGTCTCCAGGGTGGGTCTGGATCTGTGCAGGCATATGGTGGTGTATGTTTCAGAAAGCTCCTCAGTCATGCACGCACACCACCTTCCCAGGCCAGGGCTAGTGCCCTTCACCTCGGTTATCGCCGCCGCTGGCAGGGAGAACCGCGTGGAGCCAAGGTGCTGGACCCAGGCGCGCTCCCTGCGGTCTCCTTGTTGCTCGCGCTTAGCTGGGCAGTGTGACTGTGGATGGCCCCTGGGGACGCTGGGTGGTGGTGGTGAGTTGTTTGGGGGCTTAAAAACAAACAAACCAAAGTATTTTATTTATTTATTTATTTTTTAAATTTAAACCCTGGCACAAATCCCTGTTTTTAAGTGGCTTCTCTAGTTTCCAGCAACAGACCCTTCTTGTAATCGGTATGGCTGTTTTCAGGTGCTGGGCGCGCAGAGTCAGGCTAGGCGTCTTCCAGCCTCTGCCATCATGTGTCATTTCAGGATAAGTGAGGCCTTGCCAGGAAGGAAGCAAGGAGTGATTGGAGCGACCTGTGGGCCTGTGTGTGTGTAGGGCACGCTGTGCATCCCTCGTGCCCCTGACTGTCAGGATTCCTAATTTGTGCAGCTGAATTCCCTACCAAGTTCAAGTGACCTCAGATGTCCCTAAATCACACAGAGGAGTTAAGCAACAAGCTGTTTGGGGCTGTTTGGTGCGGGTGTACACTAACCTTAGTGAAATCATTTTAACCTCAGACTGAGCTCTGCATCCTTTTTAGCCTACGGTGGGGTTTCTGGCCAGCCTGTGTAATTCAAGCCCCAGAGCTGGGATGTAATCCTCTGGATGCATTTGTGTATCAAGTCCCTGGCTGTTTTTTCTTTGTTTGTTTTTTGGCTGCAGGGACATGGGGCAAATGGAAGCTGGAGTGTGTGCAGTTAGTTAATAGATTAAGTGCAAGAATTCAGAGAATAAACTGGAAATACAAGTTGTTGTTGTTGTTGTGTGCCGTCGAGTTAGTGAGTTCTTTTTCTCCTTCTTGAGCAGGAATTTTTGGCTTGTATTCAAATAATTGCTTTGTCTGTAGGGAAACAAGCACAAAATCTTTGGCTTGAGTGATGAGAATTCCTGTAAAGCTACTTGTGCTCTTACAGTTTTCACTTTTCAGCAGAATTAAAGCTATGTGGGCTCATGGCTTGGTGGACATGGGTTCCTTGCCAAGTTTCTGACTTGGTGGGTTAAGGAGGGGGCACCGTGACTCTTCTCACCCAACATCTCAACCTTTTTTGGGGGCAGGAGGGAAATTTTAAACCTGTAGATAAGTTGCAAGTAAAGTGACCACCCAAATGCTCACCACCTAGCATCTGTCATTAACATTTTGCTATATTGCCTTAATCACACATCTGTCCATCTATCCATCCATCAGTTCAGCTTATTGTTTTATGCATTTTAAAGTAAATTTTAAATTTTAAAATAAATTACAGACATTGGTATATGTCACTCAAGCATTTCAGCACACATTTTATTTGGAATTCAATATGTGTTCATGACTTTTGTTAAAAAAAGATAAAATTAACATACATATAGTAATACAGTAATTAACATACATATAGTAATATGCATAAATCTTGAGAGTAACATTTGCATAATGTCTTGGCAGATGCAAACACCTGTATAACCCCAGTACCTATCAAGATAGAGAACATTACCATCAACTAGAAAGTTCCCTCATGCCCTTTGGCCATCAATTCCTGTCTTCTCTCTCCCATTGGCAACCATTGTTCTGATTTTTTCTCACCATAGGTTAGTTTTGCCTGTTCTTGGACTTCATCTAAATGGAGTTATACAGTCTGAACTCTATTTTTTTGGAAGAAAAGATGCCTCTTTTTTTTTTTTTTTTTTTAAGTTGTGATTTGGGTGAAAATTTACAGAGCAAATACACTTTCCATACAGCAGTTCACATACACTTTGTCTCATGACATTGACTACAATTTACTACAATGCAACAGCTCCCCTCCTATTTCCTCTTGATAGTTACCTCTTCCCTGTGTCCATCCCTCCATGCACTCCTGCCCCCTGAGCTATCTCCCGGTGCATAAGCAGGCCTTCTTTCTCCCATGCTTGTTCTCTCCAAGGAGTGTATCTACCTCAGGTAAATGTTCAGCTCATATGTCTGTCTGTTGTTTGGCTGGAAACCACAAGTGTGGGTTCAATTCCAGACCTGAAGGGTAGCTAGGGGCCATAGTCACAGTGGTTCCACCAGGCTCTATCGGACCAGCAAACCTGGTCTCCCCCCCTTTTTTTTTTTCCAAATGATTTTGAGTTTTGTTCCACATTGTTCTCTCTCTATCCAGGATCTCCTGCATAGATCCTCTTCCAAGTGGTTGACAGTAGTAGCCGAGCACCATCTAGTTCTTCCAGTCTCATAGCCATATAGTTTGCAGACCGGATGGTGTACCAGTCTCTAGGACTAATTGTTTCCATGAATTTTTGGTTTTCTTCATTCTTCTTTGCTCTGGACGAGGAGAGACCCCTCGTTGCATCTAGATGGCAGCTTGCAAGTTTTTAAGATCCCAGTTGCTACTCGCCATTGTAAGAGGTGGAACAATGATTTGTGTAGTATATTATGCCAATTGAGCTTGATGTCCTCTGTAACTATGGTCCCGAGCCTAGAGGTTCAACTACTCAGTCCTTCTGGGTAGCTGGCTGTGACCAACAGTGACTACAACCTTGCCCCTTGTCAGCTCCACTACACACCTGGGGATTCAGATCATACATATAAAGTTATAGGACCATTGTCTGCCAGCCCTATACATATTCTTGGGTACACTTCATAGACATACTTAATAGCTCAGCTTGTCCACCCATCTATCCACCCATGTACCCATGTTTGCCTTCACTGACAATGCCGCACTATATGTGCAAAAGGGTTCATCTTTATTGTCTGTACTTCCCACGTACCTCTCAATGTCTTTCTCTTCCTCAATGCCACTATATTGATCACTTAACATATGGTACATTGCCCTTCTCTTCACCCAAATCAATACTTATCTCTATCTATCTAATAGTGTTCCCTACCCTCCTCTCCCACCCCTGGTAACCAACAAAGAAAATGTCCTTCCATAGATAAACATTTCCTTGACTTTTACAATAATGGACTAATACAATATTTGTCCTTTTGTGATTGACTTATTTCATTTAGCATAATGTCTTCCAAGTTCATCCATGTTATGCGGTGTTTTGCGTATTCTACATTATTCTTTAGGGTTGCATGGTATTCCATTATGTGTATGTACCATAGTTTGGATATCCATTCCTCAGTTGATGGGCACCTAGGTTGTTTCCATCTTTGGCTATTGTAAATAGTGCCACGATGAACATGGGTGTGCATATGTCTGTTCTTGTCATGGCTCTCACTTCCTTAAGATATATACCTAGTAATGGAATGGCTGGGTCAAATGGTATTTCTAGTTCCAACTTTTGAAGTAATCGCCATACTGCTTTCCACAATGGTTGTACCATTTTACAGTCCCACTAGCAGTGTATGAGAGTACCAATCTCTCCACACCCTTGCCAGCATTTGTTATTTTTTGTCTCGTTGAACTTTGCTACTA